ATATATAATGTGTGTATGTGTAAATATATGTTTACCATAGATCGGTATCAATATTATAAATTCACAATTTAATAATAAACAATTTTACATTTATTTTCCGAATTAATTGCTGAAAAATATTTGCAAGAAAATAAAGTAAAGAAAAAATATAGAAAAAAAACAATCCTTAAAATATTGAAATAAAACAAGATGGCGGATTAAGAATATATATAAGAAAAAGGTATATTATTTGAATTTAAATCCACAGACAATATTATAAATGAATAAAACAATACGATGAATAAAATTGAACGAGTACGAGAATTTCTTAGATTGTCCCGTTATTGCGTTCTCCTTCGATGGCCACCATAGAAGGGGAGATCGTATCAAACCTTGCCCTATCACTGGATAAATTCCTTTCTTCATTTCAAACAAACTTTATTTCTATCATATATATATATATACATACACATACACGTCTAACGTTTTTTTTCTTTTTTCTGCCCCGAATAAATCGATTTATGGTGTGTAAAAGCGGAACATTAACGCCGATTCTCGAAGCAGCAGCTTCCTCTTTTCAATGCGTATAGAAACCCATAAAACGGCGTGTCGAGGTGAAACGCACGGATGCGTTTCCAACGAGATGTGCATGTGCATGTGCATTCTTGTATGTCATCCTGCATGTGCACAGCTGTGTATTTGTATGTGTGTGTGTGTGTGAGTGAGTGAGTATTAGAGAATGAAAGGAATAATATAAAGAGAAATAAAGGAAATAAAATTTAAAAAAAAAAAAAAAACAAAACAAAAAAAAAGTAGAAAACAATACCCGTATTTTAAAACACACGCGATTCGTAGTATAACGATTGTTAGAGCTGTGATTGGACGAAACTACCCTCCTCTTCTCTCATATCACCAGGAACGACGATGATGATTACTATAGACGACACTACTATGACAAAGCAAAAGACACAAGAGAATTGCGCATTGTAAAATGTTCGACGGTACTCGACGCATACTATGCGTGTAGAACATTGACATCGTACCGGAAACAAATATATTTCGTATTTATCAAAAGAAAATAGTACATTTTCTATAAAAGTATATCATTAAAATATCATTTAAATACAATTTAAATACATAATTTAAATACACAATTTAAATACATATAAAAATAGAAATATATATATATATATATATATTCTATATATTCTATATATTCTAA